CTTCTCATCCACTTTGAGCTGTCTCTAGTGATATTGAAATCCCAACAGTCCCTTCTAAGTACATAGATCTATACTATTCTGCTATTTCATGAGATCCATCAAGAAGTGTTGGACCCATTCACATTACTATAGCAGATTGATGCCCACATGTTTCTAGCTTCTGACTTGATGTGTACACACACAGGCATGTATGTCGTGGTCGTGCTTTGATCTATTCTTTAAAAGCGTCGTAGGAAGTTCTTGTGTCTGAGTGCATGGAAAGGTAAGCGAACTGAAGGATGCAAATCACATAGGTATAGGCAAACAAACACACAACGCGTCTAGTATAAATGTAGACAAAATATACAAGTAGTGTAATCCCTAACGCTGGATCCTCCTCAGTCTCGAAGCAAGTACACGGTGGCTTTTGATTTGGTAATCACCCAAATACCCCTGTCTCCCTAAAGCTCCTTCAGTGGGGGGTGAGGTTCATTGGGCTTCATGATGGAATAATATTATTCGGTTTGGAAGAAAGGACTGTTCGAAATCCTCTTAGTTACATGTAGGTCTTTTTTACATAGATCTTTTAACATAGAAAGCACAGGAAGAGAAAATAACTAACGTAGACGAGAAGCGACGAAGCGGGAAATCTCATTGACGCCGATGATTTTGGTTTCGTCCCCAACCAGTAGCACTGGAAGTTTGGTATCATCAGGGTAACCATCTGAAACAGCGTTATTACAAAAAAAAATGTCGATTTTACTGGAATACCTAAGAATAACTTAGTAAGTAGCTTGTTCTAGTATTGCATACAAGACTAGACCTTAAAATTTCATAATTGAGGTGTGCATATGATATAGGCAATACGTTTGGGGAGGGAGCTTCCTGTGCTCCACTCTCCGACCCCTTATTGTGCCCTATCCAGAACGTTTTTAAACCTCATTTCGGCACATATGGTATCAGAGGGGGCCTCGAATCGAATCGAAACACTATGTGAAAATCTCCGGAACCATTTTTATCGTGAATCGTGCCTTTAGGAAACCAATGGACTTCACTAGCGTCGATTCCCTACACATTTTGGTACATGCTCTTTGTTGCCAATTAAGCACGGTCTAAACACTGTTAATTCATGGCCTCGACGTCTTGTAGCCCTTCAGTCAAATTCTTTTACTGACCTTTTCAAAGGTACGAATGGAAGCAAGTGGACTTTGATTACTGCAAAGTTTATCCTGGCTAATAGTTGACCGTCCCTAGCTGTTCAAAGGTATGTTATTACTTCCGGTGACCGGCGATAACCGTTCTAATTCTGAAATGCATCGCGCTCCCAATGCATGGTCATAAAGTTGATGGCCCAGAATTACGCATTCGGCTGAACACAATTCTCTTGAAGCCATTCTAGGTAGCCATTCTCCCAGAAGAATCCGGTATCGATAATCGACCTAGAAAGGATGGAATGTTCCGGGAATCGATTTAGGATTCGATCCTCGAAGCGAACATTTGTGCATTTGCCACCACCCATTCTCGACTACTGGGTGAGCATTTTATCTCGTAATAATTGCCAACAAGGTGTACGATAACTCCGAAATTGGTGAAAACTGGAAGGCTTTCAACAAAAAACGGGAAGAATAAGCTGGCGACGCAACTAGGCAACAGGATTTCATAGACAGTTGCGCTGGGTCTGCGGTCTAAGGTCAAAAACTTTATCCTCTATCCTATTATCACAGTTACTCGTGCATTCTCATAACCACGTCATTCATTTCTTTTAGCAAAAATTCACTCTGTGAGCAAAAAAAAGCGGAAAATTCTTCTAAACGATACAACACGAGTGCGCAGGGCATAACTACACGGCTTTCATACATCCTTTATCTTTTATATTGCCCCGGATATTTAGCCGAACGAATAATAATGGATGGTTGGGAGAATTGTACGGAAAGCTTCGAGGGAAAGAGTTCATCGTATCATAGCTCCGCCTGTTACATTTTAACGTATTCCTTTCTGCTAGGATAGGTGAAAGTATGTCTTGATGATTCAGGTAACAAGTAAAGAAATGGCTAATTGATGCCGCAGCTCAATAAGCATACGACTTCCGGCTTATTTTTTAGTTATAAGCATCTGTTGTAATAACGGATTCTTCATCTGGAGTGGCTCTGACATGAGCGTGCAGCTCGGTGTAGCATTTCCAATGATGACCATCAAAACGAAGCTCATCACCGCTGGCACAGAGGATCCCTTCCTCACGTTCGGTGCTAACAGAGGTCATATGAAAGATGGTCCAATAGAATGTCATCGTTTTTCAAGCTCATAGGTTCACGCTCGTAATTGATCAAAGAAGGTCTCGGATAGAATGCCCAGTTCTTATATGTACTCCTCTTGAATGCTCACGACGGATCGATTTTGCGCTTGTTCGTGATTTTAGAACTTAGCGTGTGACCATATAGATTTGTAGTATAAGTGTTCCGGACTGGAAAATGGATTCTTCATGCATGGCTGTAGATACGTAGCAATAATTGCCCCTGAGAAGTCTATATGCTTGTATAGCACTTAAAAAGGCTCGACGTCTCGGATATGATAATTGAAATTAGTCAGAATCATCTTTTCAAATGTTGTCAGCAGGCGTAATTCCCTTTTCAAAAGCTGAGTTAGAGGTGACGGTAGAGAGCAGCAAATGACTTTAATCAACGGCGCGGAGAGTGTAGTGCTCTACCCTCTTAAGCTTCCAAAGGTGATCCTGAATCAAATTTTTCTTTTTGAAAGTTTTATACTTCAAAGCATATCCCCTGCGTTTCCGCTTCCTTTGCGAATTATTCTTCAACTCAATCAGCATATACACCCAACATACCTCTTTTCTTCCTCAATTTCCACTGAAATATTGTAGTCTTGGTATCGATGAATCGTTTCTCGGCATAGATGAGCATCAATCTCACAGCTTCAGCTCGTCCTCGTCCTTTCAGCGAAATCAATTCTAATTTTTCGTCCATTAAGATCGTCCTGAATGAATAGTTTTTGTTCAAAACCCCTCCTCATAGGGACAACAGGGTTCGCAACTGTAGAGTTAACGGGCCTTGGTAGAAGAATAATTTGGATACATAAAGCGAATTACTGCAGATAGAGGAAATGTAGAGACTTGGAATGCGGACACTCATTGTTTTCCTAGACCTCCAGTACAACAGTGTCACCGCCTCGTGTTATGATAGATCATCGTTGAGAAGATACTCAAATTTGTTGGAAACGTTTACAATTTGACCATACCGCCGGTGTAAAAGTTTTGAACTCAAACTGGACCACTATTAGTTCCATACCCTTTATGACAAGATTTTCTTCAGTTCGTTCTTAGAATGACTTTGGCAGTAGCTTATCGGGCCAATCACTTTTTGAACCCTCCCATCCTTACTGGTATGCAACTGCTAATTTCTTTCACGTAGTCTTTCTTTAAAAAATTTTTCTATCCATAGTGACACTTTTAATTCTTACTCCTAGCTCATTTTGCCTCAAAAAGAAGGCGCCGAATATTTTTTCGGCTTTTTTTGGATTCATTATTACATTTCAATTTGCTCAGACGGATTTATCTGGAGGTTCGAAAAACACAGAAACTGTCGCGAACGAGAAACTCAGCTTTGTCTCTACTTGCGCTATCTGGACTCGAGTTCTTCTGTTAGAAACGACCAGTCGTTTCAATGTCCCATGCTATGTACAGCGATTTGGGAAAACGTAAGCTCAATTTGCTAGGGAAGTAATGCTCCTATAACTATGATGGTTACTTCAAAGGACAGGAGGTGAAGGTTTTGGTGCTGATCAATGCCATTTTGGGATCGTCCGCACGTTTCAATTCCGCTTAGAATGTTTTGTAGACAATTTGAAACCTTTTTGACGGAAAACGTCAATTACATGTACAGGCAGCGCACACCTAAGTCATTGTTCCCGAGTTGTGAATGAGTATGCTTTTTGCAACTTCGAAGGGACAACCACGAGTATTTCAAATGAAGGGATTTCCGAAAGGCGGGTATCCAGGAATTGATTGCCGGAACCTTGTGTGGTGATCAGAACGCAACCTCAGATTCGTCCTATTTTACACGGAAATATATTTAATAAATCAGTACTCGTAGTAGGGAAAGAAGAGAATATGAGTTCGCTCTGTTCGCTTAAGTTAGGACTTCTCGTTGAGGGTACAACACGATGAACAATCAGCCGAGTACTAGTCGGAATGTCCCCAACGCCAAATTGCTCGTCTCCAACGCGTAGCCTTATTTGTCTAGAGGAATGTTTCTAGAGAATTTTTGAATGATGTGAAATCTGGCAGGAAAACGGTGAGGGTGAAGCTTGAAAGAATGAGATGATGTTTGGTAGAATTGTCACGATATCGATGAAATCATCTCAGAATCATATGCCAATCGATTGTGCTTGCCTATGAAGAACTGACGAGCGGCTACGAGAATCACAACGAGGCACTCGAAGGGGATGACGAGAGAGTCTGAAAAACAGTGCTCGTAGTAAAGCACAGAACGAATTGAGCAAACATTGGCCGATTGCCAGCCTTCCGGAACCCATTCGCCACTTTGCTTTTTTGTTTTGGTGGGAGTGAAAATACAATTATCTCTCTTTAGTCGGCAATTTATCATGCATTCTGCCGGGAATACCTTTGAAAGAAGGGGTGAAGAAACAAAATTAGATGGTGATGAGGCAGGGCCAATTGCGTCGCATCTACCTCCCCGATCTTGGGATCCAATCCCGCCTTAGCAGTCATTTTAGCCAG